GCGGAAATTCTTTTTCTTATTTTTATTCCGCAGGGACACCATCATCACGTTGGGCTCAGACTCGGGCCCTGCATCTGCAACATAGGCTTCAGAAGAGGTACGGATTGAGGAGTTTTGCTGAGTGGAAAGGGGTAGGACAGTATTAGCACCGGATATGGGTGCTAAAGGTTTGTCAGGAGGTTGATTGTGCTCCGCCACACGTTTTCGTCGTCTGCGGAGATTGCGATTGCGGGTGGAAGGCTTACCGTAACCCGGGGGGACAAACGAGATGCTAGTGGATCTGCGTAAGTGACGAAGAGAGTCAAACAGTTCTCGTACTTGTCTTGCACAGTTTTTGATTTTGTAGTTGCGTTCATGCGCTTCCCTGACTCGGAGGGCTGCCGTAAGGGTTTTGGAGCCTCATCCGTGTTTGAATCGGAGTCCGAGTCTGAGGAACTGGATGAGTCGGATAAGCTGGATGAGTCGTCAGATGAGTCAGATGAGCTAGAACTCGAGGATGAGCTGGACGAAGGTTCCGAAGATGTAGATGCACGGCGTTTACGCTTCTGAGTGGCAGGCAAGGGCACCCTGTTACTCGACAAACCAGCTTGGGATGTTGCTACTGCACGTTTGATACTGTCAAGGACATGAGCTCACCGCAGTAAATGGCACACTTTTATGCTCACCAAACAGCGTCCCCGTCGCGTAAAATCGATATAGGACTGTCGTCCAGAAGGTCATACTCGTCCATCACGAGAGTAATGTTATCGGCTTGCATACCAATGGGCAGCCGTGCACATAGCGCGCGTTTGAGTTGCGTGATTGTGTGGGCCTCATCGTCTAGAGCAAACCATGCTTTGAACGGGCCCAACGGATGAATTGTCGAGATTTTGAGCCGCATGATGACAGCGACAGTTTAAACACCGAGCTTACGTTGAACCTCCGCAACATCATCATGATCATGATATTCCTTCAGAATGATCAACGCCTAACGTTTATTTTTTGCAGCTTGCTCATGTCTTAGAGAACGTTCGTACATGTACAGGCCTTGAGACTAATAAATGTAAATGTCAAAAATCAGTCGGTAAAAGTAGGAAAATCTTAATGATGAATAGTCTAGAATCTAGATGTCCCACGGGTGTATTTACTTTATGCACTTACTTCTCCTCAAGCCACGTCGACTTTCGTTCAAACTCGTTTCTTTCTATTTTTTGGACGGACTAGCACTTAATCGTTTGTCGCTAATCTGCGGCAATGGCGAACTATCACTATGATGAGGCAGGCAATATGGCCGCCTATTTCGTCATTTCTGTCCTTGTTATTATTCTGCTGCCTGTTACACTCTCATCACTTGCAAGCGTGTCTTCCAGTGAGCATGTTTCGTTGTTCTTGCGAATTTGACTAAAAAATGTCCAGAACCCCCAGAGCTGGATAATGGGTGCCAATGCACACCCTGTATACAGCGTAGAGCCGACGTGAGGAAGCACCAGGGTGGCTCCCTGCTCCGACCAAAGTTTACCCCAAAGTGAGACATTTGCACGGTTCTGAATGCCACTCACGCTCTAAAAGGGCACTATTAATCACCGTGGGCTGGGCTGCTGTCGCCTTCCTCTCATTCAAAGTTGCACATGCAGAAATAGAAAACAAGGTCTATAATCCATTCGAGATCCTTCAAATCGGCACGGTATGTAGAACACAATATACCCGCTCTCTTTGGTTGCTCATCTCATGCAGGGAGCAACGGAGAAGGAGATCAAATCACGTTTCAAGGAATTATCACGAATATAGTACGCGTCTGAATTCTTATACTATGCATGAAGCGTACAAACTCATCATTCTCAGTCATCCCGACAAAGTCAAAGCAACCATTAATGAGACAGTAGAGGACATTGCTAACCGTTTCGTGGACATTACCAAGGCGTATAAGTCGTACGTCGTATGTCGAATTCGTAGTCAGGTGTGATCCCACTAACACCATTCAAGGTTAACAGACGAGACCATTCGCCGCAACTGGGAACTTTTCGGACATCCCGATGGCCGACAAGAAGTCTCGATGGGCATTGCTTTGCCAAAGTGGGTTATTGAGGGCAAAAACAATATCTGGGTCCTCGGTGTATATGGCATTCTCTTCGGTGGCGCACTCCCAACGCTTGTGGTATGTTCCCCGCAATCGCCTCACCTTGATTGGTCCTTACAAAGCATAGGGTCGCTGGTGGTTTGGTAACCGCCAAAAAACAAAAGATGGGATTAATGCAAAGACCGCCGCTGCGTTCTTCAAGGCGCTCACGGACAACAGCGGCATGAAGGAGGTCATTAGTGCGCTGGGCCAGGCATACCGCTGGGAGACTACGTGGGCAGGCACTGCAGTTGGATTAGAGGAACTCGAGAAACAGATCGATGAAAAAATGGGCGATCAATGGAGGGAGGTAAAGGATCTCGTGGCTCCTGATGGAAAATGTGAAGGGACCAAGCAGCGGGCATTGGTATTGTTGTATGCGCACTTCTTAAGGTTAAAAATCAACGATGAGGCGCTTAAGCAAGGTAGGTTTGACTTTCAGGATGGGATGACGTTTCTGATCGTTTGCGCGTCCAGAACAAGCCAAGTTATTATTGCAGTCTCCGATGCTGCTCAACGCACTGCTAGGAATCTCGGCTGCACGGAGTTGGTTAGCACCCACCTTGATGGTGATGCGTCTGCATGCCTACGTCACGCAAGCTCTTCTCCCTGGAAAAACTGTTGCACCACAAGCTCAATTACCTGGCTTCGATGGTGATGCTGATGAACCAGAAGGGAAAGACCTTGCCTCGTTCATATCACGACTCGAGGACAATGGAGACATTCGGAAAACGGAAGCACGGAAGGCTGTCGAGGGTTGGAGTCGGTTGGATGTTGTGGATATGTCTTTCAAGGGTTTGTTCTTCATTGTGATCATCAACTCGGTACTTATTTCACTCTAGTTATCGGTGAACGCTTGGTCACACCATCATCTATCGTTTTCCTCCTCGTTAAACTGCGTCTTCGTCAGCCACTTCAAACCGATTTACCCTCGTCTGTTTCGGAAAAATCTGCAAAGGCCATCCGGGAGGATAGGGAAAAAGACGACAAATTTTTGAACAACCGAAAGGATGCGGAGGATATCGAGGGGGCGACACCTGTGTGGGCTCACGCACCTCACTGGCCAGGGGTCTGTCTTTTCCTTTGGTGTCATCTCTGCATGTCTGATTGCAACATTCACAGCTGCGCAAGCCAGGCTGGTGGCTTGTCCTTGCTGATGACAAGTCGAACAGAATTGTTGTTCCCCCAATGAAGATCTCAGACGTACCCGCATCGAGCCCCGGGAAGGAACGTGACTACCGCTCCTACAAGTTACAGTTCCAGGCTCCCCCCAACGTGGGCTTGTTCACTTGGAAGGTATACCTGGTCAGCGATACGCTTGTAGGTGAGGAGTTGTGCCGTGACATTTCGGTAAGTTCTCGTTTGACTTTGCAGTGTCGCGATGACTGATGTAGCACGCAGCTCAAAATCGATGACATATCTGCACTCAATGCGGAGGAGCAAACCGCGGAGGATGAGATTTCTGATCCTGAGGAGGATACATTGGCCGGTCAGATGGCTGCAATGCGCGGAGGAACTGTAAAGCGCACAGCTGCGCCTGAGGACAGCGAGGACGAGAGTTCGACCGATGAGGAGCAGCATGGTGATGATAGTTCAGATAGCGACTAGATGTTGCATATCTTGTCTGATTAGATTACACATTTTGGTATTTTATCTGCCTCCCTTCCTCTTTACGGTAGTAAAGCCATCCTCATCGATGTCTAGTACTTCCTTTGCATGGTCAAGCAGCTGTGGGGCAATCTCCTTCCCGAAATCTTCGCTGTCGCTTCCACTTTCATCCTCGTTATCACCATCGCTATCTTCCCAATCACTTGCACTCCCTGCATCCACTTCATATTGTGGCATTTTCCCTTTCGTCCGATCCGCTTGCATCTCCAGGTCCTTGACATATCCTTCCTTTCCCTCTTTCGCATCGTTCCACAAACGCACAACATCTCTAGCAACGTCGAACGCGCTTCCATCCTCGAGCGCAACTTCAAACTCGTCATCCATGATCTGGAGCAGCATCGTTTCTATGTATTCGGTGTCTGGTTCTGGGAGCGTGTGTGATGAATGTATGGGGGTTGACTGATGCGAATCGAAAGCCGTCAATGAAGCAGATGCCGATGGAAGGCATGCTTCAAATTCATCTATGATGATACCCGCTAACCAGCGCTGTTTTTGTGCGCTTTGCGGACCTCCCCAATTTTGGTGCACAGCAATGCGAAGAGCTGGCCATAGCGCGAGGCGGGCTAGTATGCCACGCGCGAATAAGACTGATGTAGGTGACGCGTCTGAAGCCATCGCAAATGGTGAAAGATGAGTTGGATCGCTTAGTAAGCGATCTCTACTTGTTAGTGCGTCAAAGAGTAACCGCAACGCTTCACATGCAAGAAGACATCGTGAATCGATTCAATACTATCTATACAGGGTACCGGCGTAGCGCGCTAGCGCTCATCCCTGATTCATTTATAAAATTTTGCAATCAATAAGTACTGTAGCTACAACACATACATCGAATACAAACACAAATCACAGAATCATTTACGTATGCAAACACCCTTGGTTTGCAAGCTGAAGGCCTGACAATCGAGCTTGAGTTTCCACTGCAGTACTGGAAATGTTGCAGGCCCACTGTATCGAATTGGCCGAAGTTGAAACCCCTCGTAGACGGACAGGTCGCTAATCTACTCAAGTCACCTTGCGTGCCTCATCTCCTATTATTATCCTCGAAGATGAGCATCACATGCGATGTGATAATACACATGTTCGTATGTCGAGCAAGGCACATTGATTGCCAGAAGATGCTAAGTAGTGGGACATCTTATCATTGCATTACAGGCAATCTGCTCGCCTTCGGATGTTGCAATGACTCGTTGAATTACAATCACAGGTTGGCGAAAATCGTATTAGCTCTCATCTTTTCGTACGTAGTCAAAAATAAGTTCAATTGCTTGTGGCTTTCTGCATGCGCCGTGGCGGGGCGGGAATGGTAGCGGATAACCTACCCGTCGATACTCGTCGGATTTGCATTTTTCAAGCCGAACTGACCGCAAAGCCTTTTCAAGGCACAAACCGAACGAGAATCCCGTCCAGGTACCTCTCTATATTTATTATTTCCGTCTCGAAAAGTGTCGGTGTTGATAAAGATCTCAAAACGAATCGATTAAAATCCAGAGCCATATTGTTGTCGACAATATATCGTTACACGTGTCTCCATCGACTCTCGTTGAAGCACACGCTCAGCGGCCGTCCGGTCTTGGTTCTAATAATCACAAAGATCAGCTCAAGTCATACTTTGTTGAAAAACAATACTCACGCGACCATTGTACGCTCAAAATTAGATTATCATAACCTTTACCGTTTAGTTTTTCCATTGCCCGCTGGGCAATAGCGCGCTCCTCAAAGGACACAAATGCAAAGCCCTTGCCAATACCCGTCTCTCGGTCACGGCCGACGTAAACCCTCGCTACACGCCCGAATGTACCGAAAAGCTCGCGAAGATCGGATTCTTGCGTGTCTTCAGAGATATTGGTGACACGGAGTGTGGGGAGGTCTTCGCGAGAGCCGCCTGGGCGTCCCATGGATTCACCAGGACGAGAAGCACCACCACGCATTGATGGTGGTACATATTTTCCGCCAGTCGCCCCGCTGGCTGCAGGAGCAGGTACGTCGGCCGCATCATCAGCTGGCGGTAGGTCTGTCCGTATCCGCGTCAATAAGGTCGAGCATTAAGTGAATATGGAAAAATACTAACCAGCAGTTTCGAGACCAGCGAGAGAGTCCTTATATGGACACTTGGCAGTAAAGTGATCGCCTTTGCAAAGACGACAGATAACCTTGCCTGCACCGGCCTTTGCAAGTTCGGTTTTGATATTTTGCTCGGGTGTCACCTCCGGCTCAGAGGACTTTTATAACTGTCAGTCTGATCCAAGAGCAGTGAACTTATAAACAAACCTTGTTGCCTGCACTAATTTTCAAAGTCACATTCTCTCCTACTGTGGTCGTCGCTCGATCTGGCCCTTCCTTGTTCCCTCGTTCCTTACCAAACTTGGCCCATTTCTTGCGTTCAGCAACTGTGTGCTCGACGACGGATTTTTGAAGCGTACGCTTTATTTTACGGGTTATCTTGCAGAAATTTATCAGTATATAGGATTAAAAAAACGCCGACATGGAAGATGGTACAGATGAGACATAGCATGCAGACCGCGAGATAGACGTACCTTGACTTTCTTTCCCTCATCATTTATAGCATACTCGATGGTGATACGGATGCCATTCTCATCCACGTAATCCTCAATCTTTGGTTGATCTATTTGAGAACGTTAGACTGCGATGTGATTGTGGACGCGAGGGTGGGTATTCACCAAGCTCGTCAACATCATCTGCCCAGGAAGTTTTGGGTATACTGTGAAAAAATTGTAAACTTGACAGTCCGAACCCTGTAAACTCCCAACCTACGTTGCTGCCGCCATGTTATCACTGAATAAGTATGTTCCTGGTGCTGCATGGACTCTTTACAGAATAATGGTGGCAGTGCTGTCCACGTGATCGGAATTTTGCAGCCTCATCTACAAGATTACTAGTCTCCACATCGCCCTCGACGTCCCCAAGCTCACGACATAATCGCCCTCTTCAATGGTAAGTTTTGTCTTGCACATGTTATGGTTAGAATACGCTGCAGGATCTGTTTGAAACACCAACAATCCGAGTCCAAATGGTGGATTGATAACCCGCACTTTGGATGTAGTACCTCTATCGTCACAACCGCTAACGCTTTGCGATGCGCAGGCCTCATTAGAACTTGCCGCAACTTACGCTGCACTTATCCTCGCCGATGAGGGTATTGAAATTACCGTGCGTATCTTGCAGGTTTCACATCCATATTTCTCGTAGCTCAAGAAGCATATGCAGGCTGACAAAATACTCGCCTTGACTGACGCTGCCTCGGTCGAGCTCGAGCCAATCTGGGCAACTCTTCTTGCTAAGGCTTTGGAGGGAAAGAATGTGAAGGATCTGCTATCAAACGTCGGTGCTGGTGGAGGTGCACCGGCTGTCGGTGCACCCGTTGCTGCTGCCGCTGGTGGTGCTGCTGCCGCTGAAGCACCAAAAGAAGAGGAGAAGAAGGAAGAAGCAAAAGAGGAGTCAGATGACGATATGGTACGCGCTGAAGTCTCCCTTTCCAGTCACGACAGGGTGCTGATGTTCGTTCACAGGGCTTCGGGCTGTTCGACTAATCTGCAGTTTTCCTTTATTATGTTATTCATCCACTGCATACGTCACATGGGTTCACTCTCTACATCCTGCGTTGTATCCCTCGCGCCACTTTGTGCTACGCACAGAATTCAACATCTGAAACCCATCTGGATGATTGCTTGAGAACGATGAGAGCTTACTGATGATATAAACCTCATCCCGCAGTTGTCCTGCAGTCCGTTCAATTAATTGCTGTTGGTACAATACGTCACTCAAGCCCAAAGTAATACCTGTGGTTGGAAAGCAACTGATCCGCAGGTTCCTCGTAGTCGAAACTCGAGGACGCGGTGTTATTGAAACTATGCGTAGAAATACAAGGGAAACATAGTACTGAGGACCGTGACCATCATGATTGCATATTCAGGACAACAAATTGATTTCGTCAGTTGCCGTTGACAACACTGAAGGTGATGACCAGCGGCCGGAAGGAGGGTGCAGGACAGGAAAACCTAGGGAGGGACAATTGACGAGAATCTGGCTAGATAGCATGGCATTCAAAGGCGTGTGTCCGCCTACGGTACTTCATGTGCACGGCGAACAAGGCGATCTGTCGCGCAAGGAAAAGGTTTGGTTTGAGGAACAGGTGAGGGACCGTGAAGGAGCGGTTCAAATGATATGATTAGAATAATTATACGCGTTATCAATGGTTTGCGTTCGGTCTTTCTGCTCCAGTTTATAAGGTGTGGCCGCGAACACAGGTTCTAGTTCTACTATGAATGTTCAAATTTTGGTGTAATCACTCGTTACTGACGTGTTTTTTTCTTCATTGTTCGGGCAAGCAGCCTCACAAGCATGGGTTCGATACTACCTGACATTTCCATAAATAACAAGCCACGGCTTAGTTTGCGCATACAGCTCTTCTTGTACAAACGTTGGTAGATATATAGAAAAATAAGGTACTTAGCCCGGTGGAGAGATAACCTTTATAACGCATCTTCAAATAATAATCTTCGTGGTTTGCTTATGTGAGGCGATGGTGAATATAAAGCAGGCCTGGGAAAGATACCGTCAGGAGTATGAATGGGTCACAGACTATGATCACACTTACATTGAAGTTCCGCAATTTGCAGCTGCGTTGCCCATAATAATACTTTCTGATACACCAGCGATACTGTCGTTCTTCCCGAAGGCTGCTGCATCAAACAAATGGTCCGTCGTCTTTTCGAATGAGGCAAGCATCAGAACGCTGTCCTTCATTTTTGCGACACCAAAGCGAGTGATACCAAGAACCTCTCCCTGTGCGCACAATTAGTAAGAGAAATCGATATTGCACCGCACTCGTACTTTGTAGCTCATGACATCGCCAAGCAACATAACATGACGGGGGTCAATGCTCATTCCGTGGCTCTGCATGGTATACTGGATTTCGTCGATTATGGTCCGTCTCGCTGCTTCAATCCCCAAGACTTTTGCTGACTCGATTACATGGTTGGAAGTTGTAGCCTCGCCAACAATCCCTACATCTAGATAAGCAAATGACGACTAGTTTGAAGAACAGAAAGGCCTACCCTCAGTGGTCATGACCCTCTGTAGTCCGTAACCTTCTACAAGTAGTTCCTTGTCTCCCTTTTTGCCCTTAACGTCGTCCTTCTCTTTGATGTTAATGACGGCGCGCTGAATAGTTGGCACTCCCTGTGGCAATGGTTCAGATACTGATTACGGCCAAGACCAAATGATTGACCTTGACTACCACATCCGACAAAACTCGTTTCAATTCTTGCAACTTGTAGTATTTGTCTGTTCCATCAATATAGATGCGCAAGCGGTTTCTGCGAGGAATAACTGTAATGGACTATCGACAGTAAGTTTTGTGACAACATATAAATGACACGGATCTCACTTCTTGTTTAATCTTGAGCTTTCTCGTGGCTACGATTGCCCACTTTATATCGTCCAAAGTGAGTTCAAGCTGTCGCGACAAGTGAGCACACATTGATAGATATGTTAATGAACTGACCTGGAGCTTCTGAATGGTATCCATATCTATAATTACACCAATATAAGTGTACTCTGGCGCCCATGCCTCTTCAAAAACAGCAGCAATCTGCACGAAATTCAGAATGACATCCTAGGCTCATAGGCTGAAAATGTCTTACATCGCCCAAATGAGTTTTTTCAAGGCGGCCCTTGACTATACGCGCAGAAGGCTCGCTGTTAGGAGTGACGAGCTTGCAGCTAATGATGGGCGTGCTAATAGTCTTGGATGCATTAATGATTTCTTTGATTCGCGGAACGCCAAGCGTGACGTTCATCGAAGCGACCCCAGCAAAATGGAAAGTTTTGAGGGTCATTTGTGTCCCTGGTTCTCCAATGGACTGAGCACCAACTGCACCCACAGTGGAACCTGAACTGCACTCAGTTTTTCCGAAGGTAAACTATATAGACTCCACTTACCGGGCTCAATCCTGGCTTTGACGTACTTTTTCCAGCACAAGGCAAGAAAATGCTGGAGCTGAGACTCAGTAACTTTGGCCTTGTTATCTACAATAGCCTTGGAAGCGGCTAAGGAATGTGTCAGAACGCAGAGAGCAAATGCATTTTCTGTGCAAACCTGAAGCTCCCATAGACAAGTCGGTATCACGATCCCATTCATCTGAGCGCTCCAGAGCCTCAAACATTCCCTGGCTTTTGCGCATCTTAGCGAGATGATGAGCGATATGCTGAACGATGAAGTCTCGTATAGTATCAAGATATGTTGGTGTACACTCGCTGGTGAACTTCGGTTTCCTGAGCTCTAGATCGACAAGTTCCACGATCTCGAAGGGGAGTAAACCACGACCACGACGGTTTCCTATTGCCTGCAAGAAAGTGAGACATCTGAACCAGATAGACAGCAATTTTCGGTACACACCAAAGCATGCGTCCATGTCCGCTCGAACTCGACTGGCTGCGCGTCACCTTCAAGACATGCAGGATCCAAGCCATCATCACCATATCTGAATTGTACAACGCCGCCTGTCGAGTTGCGCACTGATAGATCATATTGAGTGGTCAGATCTTCTAGTGCCTTCATCAAACGTCGCTGCATGTAACCGGTCTCAGCGGTCTTCACCGCGGTGTCGACCAAACCCTCACGACCGGAGATGGCGTGAAACAGGAATTCTGTCGGTAGAAGACCGCTGAAAAAGCTGTTTCTGACGAAACCTTTGGATGGAGGTTCTTTCGACTTCTTCTGGAAATGCGGTAGAGAACGATCTTGAAAACCATCTGGAACACGGTGGCCCGCAATGATTTGTTGACCGACACAAGCAACCATCTGAGAAACATTGATCACGGAACCTAGCGACACTAAGCGACATTAACAAAAACGGAATCCGAGGGACAAACCTTTAGAACCACAAGTTGCCATGATTAGAGGTGCGTTATGTCGACTCAGCTCCTGCATACAAATGTCTCCGACCTTGTCCCGGACTCTTGAAAGGATTCCAGATATCATAGCTTCAAGTGTTTGCTCTTGGTTGCATCCTGGTTTGTTCTCCAGCTTCCCCTTCTTTGCCTGCGTAATGAGGTTTGTACATTCAGCGTAAGCAGCCTCGACCATTTGGTTCTTCTTTGATGCAAGGATAGGCCCTGGAATGACATCGTTGATTCCGAGGGAGAAACCGAAGTTGGCTGATAGAAAATTAAAGCGTGAAACGTGTCTGATTGACGATGAGACGCACCCAACCAACGAGCGCACAGTTTTGCTACACGGTTCATGGCTGCGGCAGCTTCATGTGGGCCGTAGTCCCTCATGATTATCCCGAATATCGACTTCTTCTTCCCGCTGCCGACGATGGCTTTATCCATGACACCACACATAATTTCGCTATTGACGATGACAAGCCAAGCATCGTTCGGAGACAGATCTGGGGCTGGGTCTTTGATGGAGGGGTAATGTTCAGGTTTCAACTTTTCCGGTTTATTGCACTTGCATTCAACGTTTACAAATACGTTGGATTGCTTGTTAGGACGCATGAGAACGTTGAAAATCTGTTTGCCTGTCCAGAGTCGTATAGGCTTCCAGATCGTCGGTGGGGGTATGTCAATCTGTAGGTCGGCATCGGCAAAATAGCAACATATTTGTGTGAACTGGCGACGGTCGAAGAATGTATCTTTGCGGGTCATCAAGTAGGAAGCCGTGATAAAATCCTGAATGGCGGCGATCACAGGCTCTCCGTTCCGAGGGGTGACTAGATTGTGTTTCACGCTCATGAGCTCGAGCGCTTCTGTTCTTGCTTCCTCCGTCTGAGGAATATCTATTCGAGATGTCATAAGTGTTCGAATATCATTTAGCATGACAAAAAACTGACGAAGATTCATTTCATCGCCATCAAAATCGGCGTTATAAGGGCCACAAACACATTCGTTTAGACGGAAGGAGCGCCAAGGACGAACCTTGACCCTGTGACACATGATCGAGAGCTAAAAGGGTCAAAGTCAGTGAAGGTTTGAAGCTACTGCAAAACAAGAGACCTTGTGCAGACTGGGTTGCCGATTGAACAGGGCAATATCACCATTAATGATATGCCTCTCGACAACATCCCCGATTCTCAGACTGTCAGCCACCGCATTGCGATTGCCAAACTTCAAGAATTTCTTGAAACCACTGCTGCCCGCTGTCACGTAGTTAGCGCCGGGGTGTACATCACACCCATTGCGAACGGCTTGTTTGAGACCATCAATGTTGTGGGAAGTCACACGTTCCGGGTATGTTAATATTTTCGCGACACGCTCTGGTACCGCGACTTCATCAATACGCAAATTTGGGTCAGGGGAAATCACGGTACGACCGGAGAAATCGACACGTTTCCCAGACAGATTACCACGGAATCGACCTTGTTTACCCTTCAGGCGCTGTACAAAGCCCCTCATCGGCTTTTGACCAGCTTGTGATGGTACCCCAGGGAGTTCGGAGTTGATATACATGGCGACAGAAAGTTGAAGGAATTCCCAGTGTTCCTGAGTGTGAGTTGAGCAACGGCAAGTACGGTGAGTAGTCCTCGCATACCATGAATTGTGCAGTGGGCGCTCCTTTGGACAGACCCTGCTTTATGAGAGCATTGGTGAAAACGATTTCCGTGAGTTTGACAGTGAGGTCATCTTCGTTGGAAGCCCCATCCTGAGCAACGGATGGTCTAATGCAAACTGGTGGGACGGAGATGTACTGCCAGATATATTCTTCTGGACGACCGAACTCGGGTCGTAGACCAAGCAATTCGCAGTCCTAAAAGTAGATGTTAGTCTCGTAAACGTTGAAAGTAGACATAAACGCAACCTCATCAGATATTCTCTTGAAAAGATCGAGGGTTTTAAGTGGATTCAAATCTTCATGGATTGCCTTGTTCAAGTACATCCCAAGTTCCTTCTGCGCCTCTACCGCTGGAGCAAATGTACGCTTCCATTTCTCCATCTCGTCTGCTGTTTTCTTCGCACGAAATTTATCGTGAATAATTTTCAGTACTCCTGCCTTTTTGACAGCGCCATTCGTTGCTGAGCAATACGGACAGTAGACGACCTTTCGTGCCATCGTATTGACCTGTTTGCATAATGCCTGTCGGTGGATATTTTCAAGACCTTGCCTGCGGAAGCGTTTGAGGTATGTCCGCCGGTCGGGTTCCTCCAGTAGCAGGCGAGCACATGTCTTTTATCGCGTCATTAAGCAGGAAATATATAAAAAGTCTACCGGCTTACTTTGCATATGGCCTGGAGGATGGCTATGGTATGCTTGAAGTAGCCAATGTGGAATACTGGGACCACCAGTTTGATATATGCATAGTGGCCAACGCAATCGACAGAATTGAGGCCGCAGGTCTCGCAAAATGCGTTCTTCTCTGTCGTTCCCTGAGATGGTGATAAGTCACACTGTGCATGGGAAGGTGTGGGAAACTCACAAGCCGACGATCTAAAACGCCATCTTTGACGGGAAGTCGATCGGCGGGCGTATACAAGTCACGATGAGTCACCTGGAACTCAGAGATTTTGACTGTATCTTGGGCATTGAGCAAGCTGAACTGTAGCTGTTTTCTGATGGGTTCTTGCGTCAATCAATTTTAGAAAACTGGAGGAGGAAATGGGACATACATAACTTTTGGTGCCTCAGAAGGTACCGTCTCCTTCATGGCAAATAATCTAGTAAAAGAAGCTAGCGAGAAATTTTGCGACGACGCCTGTCACTCATGCGCAATGCAGGAGCAAATTTGTATCTGCGTATATATGTACAATTTCAGTTCGCTGTCACAAGCAAGTTTTGAAATTTGGATTATCGATGGGCATCAATGTGTGATGTGACTTAATTGTGACGATCCGTGACATACTTGCGTGACGCCCGTGATGAGACTTGCGCGTCGCGTGTCTGCGATTGAATCATATCCTGCTCCAAACCATGTCGAGAACGTCATACGATAGGTTCGAGCATTCACCAGTTCCGCTGTCTATATGCTTATGAATTATTTGGCAGATATCTCACTGTTTTCTCGCCGGAGGGCCGACTGTACCAAGTCGGTGCGTTGATGACGATTGGACATGCTTGTAATGACGCGTGCTCATATGCTCCCCTTTAGAATATGCATTCAAAGCTATCTCTGGTTCAGGCCACACAGCTGTCTCCGTCAGAGGATATGACACCTCTGTAGTCATTACCCAAAAGAAGATCCCAGTACGTTGTGCTACGAAACGGCTGTCATCATGGTATTTACTTGAGATCAGGATAAGCTGTTGGATGCATCGACTGTTACGCACCTCTACAGCATCACCCGTACTATTGGGTGTGTCATGACTGGTCTTGTCGGTGGGCAAAAATGCTGGTTGTGGAATAGCTTGTACTTGCGCTGACGTAGGTTATAGCTGATGCCCGTGCCCAAGTTTTACGTGCTCAGCAAGAGGCTGTCCAGTGGAGATACAAGTACGGATACGAGATAACTCCGGATGCTCTAGCACGACGACTGGCAAACATCAATCAAGTCTACACGCAACGGGCTGGCATGCGGCCCCTAGGCATCTGTGAGGCACCTATTTTGTATCGTCGTTCGCAACTAACGACAATAAATATGCTCGTAGCTATGATCCTAATTGGCATCGATCCAGAATACGGGCCGCAATGTTTCAAATTGGACCCTGCGGGCTACTTTGTTGGGTTCCACGCCACTGCTGCTGGACAGAAACAGCAAGAAGCGATGAACCACCTAGAAAAGAAATGGAAGAAGCTAGACAAGGGCAAGGGAGCTGATGATGCTGCAGCTGCTGGCAAGAAGCTCAGTCGAGCGGAGGTTATTGAGGTGAGGGATACTACACTATAAAATGACTTGAATAACCGAGCATTGTTTAGATTGCAATAGAAGCAATGTCGACTGTTCATGCGACGGACTACAAGGCCGGGGAAATAGAGATTGGGATCGTGTCGACTGCTCAGGACGAGGACCCCAAGACTCGTGGTGAATGGCGTGTGATGGATGAGGCCGAGGTAGAGAGATATTTGCTGGCATATGCAGAAAAGGACTAGATGCATTATTGCACACATGAGAATTAATCATTTGCTTGCGGAAACTTGGAAAAAGTAGTTTAGATAAGGTTTTGGGGTGACGCGGCATGAATTGTAAATGATGTCTATCAGATTTATCTATTCTATCGCAAAGAAGCTCCCCCACTCTGCACGACTGTGAGCACTGAATTATTTGTTACACAGAAATACTGACCAGTATGGCATCGATCTCTACTTGCTCCAGATATCTGGAGGATGGCTTCGAGAAGCGTGCTGGAGCGTCCCAGAATTCTAGGAAGACGGGATGTTCCTGCGGTGCTCGGTGTGAGCTGTGAGGAACAGCCTTTTCAGAAAAGGACTTTTGCCATTCTGGAGGAGCAGCTGGATGAGGGTGAGAGGGACCTGCAGCTATTATGACATTTAGGTTTTTATGCATGACAATAATTAAACCAACGCACTAGCTGGCCATACACGCTTTCCGATAAAGCTGATGAGAGGTTTATGTGCGAGCACTTTAACAGACGGATGCATGGTAAGTAAGTACTTGGCTGAGAAGCGGGCCGCCACTGCAAGGGATATGTTATTTGTACATGTTTACTTGGTCGGAAGGCTGAAGCGACCGTGCCGATCGCCTACACGATAGTGACGGCTATTGAAGGTACGCTTGAAAGCCACTTGAAAGATAAATAAAACAAGTATACAACTTCTGGCATACTTGACAGCTCTTTGTTTCCTAGAAACCATATGTCGGTTCTTCAGGTGTACTCTTCCCTGTCATCGAGCTCTCCAAGAGCTACGATATCACGTACACTTCAATCAATCGCTAGTATGTCTTAATCTTGTTATATGGCTAATTGCTTTAATCCAGTTTCTTAGGTGCTCCACCTATCAATCCCCCTTCATGTAAAGCACTCATTCAGCTTATCATCGATGATCTCCAGGCTGTCATTATCGATGGCTCGCCCAGCCGCTTGATCAGAGACGGTTTGCTCACTCTATTAGATCCATACACCCCGTACTGATCCCATGTCAATCGCAGACGCATTGTCCGCTCTTTCTGCTGTCAAGGGACTTGGTAGAATTCCCCACGGTGCTCAAGTCCTTGCATCAATTGCTAACCTCAAATGTCTTATGACGCTTGCCATAAAACTCGAAACTGCTCCTGATGCATCGAACGAAGCTTTGAAGTGTGTTGCCAACACCTTACTCCTCAGTGAACCTGCCCGCACCACGTTGCTGAGTCAAGATATTGATGGAGGAAATATCTGTATCGAGCTACTCCAGGTCAGAGTCCATCACCCTGTGTGTTTTGCATTCAACCAATTTTTTCTAGAAATCTGCAACACCTGAAAACACATTTCTCTTTTCCAGAATCCTCTTCCTCTGTACTGCATCCCCTCATCAATCCGCTTCCTTCATTCAATCTATCGTTGAGACAAAACGCACCCACTTTCCGGGAAATGGAACAATAATCGATGTTATTGCACTTAAGTTGGATGATTTAATCGCGTCCATGCAAGCTGGAATAAAGATGTCCCGCGATGCCATGACAGATCTCCTGAAGCTCACCTTTAATCTCCTCGTACACTATCCCAAGGTCAGTCACTTCGCCTTTGACCATAATTACGAACTCTCAGTCGCGTTGCAGCTGGTTCCCTCTGAATTAAAATATCCCGCGCTAGCCGGCAGTCCTGATGACCAAAAGGTGATGGGTGATTTCTGGAATTCGCGGCTTGACGGGTGAGTGCCTTATGACGATCTTTATCATAGTATCTCACATGGTACTGCAGCATCCTACCTTCACTTGTTCGTGCCTTTCAGACTGTCCCCCTTTCCTCCCCAAATCCCCTTACGTCGCCGCTGACTCACATCATTCACTCGCTAATCACTATTCCTGTTGACTCATCATCCCGAGCGATATGGTTCGGTACTCTCCCACATTCACGTCCGACTACCCCACAGCTTAATTCGTCCGAGCCCACAACCTCTTCTTTGACTGGTTCAAGTCATGATGACCAATCAACGCCTAAGGAGCATATTGAACGTGCCATATCTTCTGTCATTCCAGCCGGTCGCCGTTCGTTTCACCACTCACCACTTCCGGACTCGCCTTCCACTGCTGACTGCGCTTCACGCGCTTATGAACTCCTGGACACGACCCTTGCTCATTTCCTTCCAGGTGATATCGATTCAGATGATCCTGCAGTGCGAGATCTGTGCAAGATTGATGGGGACACATCCCTGGATGAAATCGTGTGCCCACTTGTTCTACTTATCACACGACTCTGTCTTGGTGATGACGATGCCAAGACAAGAATAAGACAGTGGTTGGTGCCTGAAGATTTGGACAGGACGCATCCTTTGGAGAAGAGAGCAGATCTTTTAGGTCGATGCTTGAGACTCCTTGCAACCGTGTACCACAGCAGATTGAAGGACTCCATGGGAGAAATGTTGTATGCAATGTGTGATTCAAACGGTACGTCATATGCACCTCCCGTCGGTTATATTTACGAATGAAATTTAGCTACAACCCTTGCTGGTTATTTTGGATACGGCAATGTTGCTGGTTTCCTTTTTCACAAAGGCGTTGTCAGTGCACCGCCTGTCAGCGCGACCTCGGGCGCACCACCGACTACTGCGTCAGGTTTACCCATCAACCCCATCACTGGCACCGTTGAGCATCCCTCGGAAAACATCGACATGACTGATGAAGAGAAGGAACACGAGGCGGAGAAGTTGTTTGTGTTATTTGATCGTTTGGAGAAGACTGGTGCGCTACCTCCGAGTCAGAATCCCTATCGCAAGGCGTTTCAAGAGGGTAAAATGGGCTAACCTCACTCAGCAATGGTGGATACACATGGACTTCCGAGTAGCTTACTTACCGATATCATCCCCTTTTCCCCTTTACCTTGAATTCACAGTTAATGAAGTATGATAGATCAAGTTGTCAACCGCAGCGATAGAACATTGTGCATATGTATGTATATACGAAAGATATGCAACGACTTGGGCCACGTTGAAAGTGGGAGGTCATCATTTTGGGGTAGCGCCGCGTAGCAGTCCATACGAACTCGGAATGACATCGCAAAATGTCTAATCGAAAGTGATCTTGGACCCCTCAAACTGAGTGACGGCACCAGTGCGTGCACCCCCTCGGCCTCTGCCGCCACCCCTCCCACCACGGTCACCACCTCGACCGCGTCCTCTCCCACCACGATCACCACCGAACCCACCACGTCCACGTCCGCGGTCACCGCCACCGAACCCACCACGTCCACGACCTCTGTCGCCGAGTCCTCCACGACCCCCACCCCGTCCGCCCCCAGCGTTGTCTCTTGGTTGGGAATAGTCCAAGCGAAGGCTGCGGCCGTCAAGCTCATAACCCTGCAGCTGCCCGTGGGCTGTCTGTGCGGCCTCCACAGCACTAAACTCGACATAGGCAAAACCTTTCGGCCTTCCCGAGTCACGATCCGTCGGAACACGAACGCTTTTAACGTCGCCGTGCTCGCCAAAGACTTCCCAAAGTTGGTCCTCGTTGACACCAAAGCTAAGATTGCCAACAAAGAGAACACTTGATACTGGGCTTTGCGTGTCGCCAAAAGATTTTGCCCGGTTTTCACGGACAGCGCTTTTATCCGGCGGAGTGCTTTTGTCAATATTGACAGGTCGTCCATCAATTTCCTTGCCATTCATTTGGAGAGCCTTTTCAACCGCATCTACGGATGCGAAGTGCACATAGCCAAAACCGCGCGACTTTCCGGTTGCGCGATCTGTTTGTACTTGAGCAGAGACAACTTCGCCGCAGGAGGCAAATTCCTGTGCAAGCCAGTCGTTGTCGATATTCCATGATAGCCGACCAACGAAAATACTTTTCGTTTCCTCGGTCGATACGCTAGGAGCGGCATCGACATCGCCATCAACCAATTTTACCTTTTTTGGGGGAACGGACGGCTCTGCTTCTGCTTTGCGCTTGGTGCCTGTAGACGATTCAGATCGATAGATGACCACTGCGATCAATAGCTTACCCTTGGCAGGCTGAGCATTTTGTACCTCAGTACCCTTGGCCCCATCCTGATCTGACGAGCTCTCGTCGCTCGAAGAATCGGAAGAATCACCACTTTCTTTACCCTTCCCCTTTTTACCGCCTGGGACACTGGTTGGCTTTTCATCGTCCGATGAGTCATCGGAGTCTGAAGCAGGGGCAGCCTTTTTGGGTGGTTCACCCTCCGAAGAGGAGTCCGAGGACTCGTCGCTTGATTGGGAAGCTTTTGCAATCGATGCTTTGAGTGCTCCCTGTGGAAATTGAATAAAGGTCGAAAGACTGAAAAAGCGAATACATACAGCCTTAGCTAAAATGTCCTTGGATGATGTCGGCAATTTGACTTTCTTTCCGGGCGAGGCGGTTGGTTTGGCCGCCTTGGCCTTATCTGTCTTTTTGCCTGAAGAACACGATAGAAAATCAGGTTGAGCGCAGACTAGTACCATCAATCACTCACCATTGGCAGGCTGAACATCTTGCATCACTACATCCTTGTCACGGACCTCATCTGATGAGCTCTCGTCGCTTGAAGACGAATCAGAGGAATCATCAATCTCGACTTTACTCTTTCCTTTTTTGCTGGCCGGGGTATTAGCAGGCTTTTTTTCTTCCGATGAATCATCAGAGTCCGACGTTAGCATAGTTTTTTTAGGTTGTTCGTCTTCCGAAGAGGAGTCTGAAGAATCGTCAGATGATTCGTCATTGGTACGTTTAACGGAAGCCTTTCCGTTCGATGCTTTGAGTACTTTCTATGGAGGTTGTGTGAAAAGGTCAGAAAGGGACGGTTGAACGACAGGAATACATACAGCCTTGGCCAAAATCTCTTTGGATGACGCTAGCGACTTTGCTTTTGCGGGTGAGGCAGCGGCTGTTTTGGCAGCCTTGGCCTTATCTGCCGTCTTTTTGTCTGCCTTTTTGTCTGATTTTGCCATGGTGTGCAAGTGAAGGATACAGATTTGCGAAGTAGGAAGTCCAAAATTTTGGCTCGATAAGCACGTGAGCCATTCTGATTAAGGGCAGGTTGGTTCAGGACTTGCCAGAATGCTGAGAGTGCTCTGTATCTGAATCAGTTTCTTCTATCACTGCGGCAATGGATAATCACTTTGACGTTATCGTGCTTGGCACCGGTCTGATCGAGTCTATAACTGCTGCGTGAGCAAAATTTGACACTCGCACACCATGTTCTTGTACTCAGTAGGAATCTATCAGTGCTCTCTCCAAAGCTGGCTTCAAAGTCGCACATATTGACCCCAATCCATATTACGGTGCAGACGAAGCATCCCTCTCATTAGATGAACTCGTGCAGTGGGTTAATCGCCGTCAAGAGCACGATCGTTCCATCACCCATTATGGTGAACTCCCGCCTCATGCGAGACAGTACTCAGTCTCATTGGGTCCTTCGGTCATTCCATCGATCGGCCCTTTCATCTCGTCCCTCATTGCATCTGGCGTTTCTCGCTATGGGTCTTTCAAGCTCCTTGGTCGCGTTGTTATTTATGATGGTGGGATGTTGAAAGATGTGCCTCAGAGCAAGGATGACATCTTTCAGAGCAAGGCGATGAGTCTCTTAGAGAAGAGGAGGGTCACACGTTTCCTTATGTTTGCTGCTGGAGATTTCGAGAATAGCAAGGAGCTGCATGGCCAAGAAAATTCGCCCTTGCTCGATTTCTTGCATAGGATTTTTTTGCTCAGTGAGGCAACCGCTCGGGCCATCACCTATGCCCTGGGGTATTGTTCTTTTATTGCAGAAAAGACTCTTCCCGCTCTGCATCGTATCCGCGCTTACCTGAAGGCATCTGGTCGCTATGGGCCGTCCTCATTTCTTGTTGGCTACCACGGTGGCTCGGGCGAAATTGCACAAGGCTTTTGTCGGGCAGCTGCTGTGAGGGGAGGTGTTTATATTCTGGGACGATCCGTTACAAGTCTCTCGTCTGTCGATCCCGCTGAGCTAGAAAACCCCGTTTTGACATCTGATCTACCCCGGTTCGCTATTGAAGTTGACGACCTTCCAGACCGTCTTCACTGTCGTTGTCTGTTATCGTCGACTTCTTTGCTGCCAGGACACTTTCGTACCCTAGCAGATGTCATCCGTCCGAGTATATCATCCTACGGCTCCCCGCGGCCATTTGCAGTGGCGCGATGTATTGCCGTCGTTGATGGGCCAATTACTTTGCCGTGGGATATCGAGGATTCGGGAACGTCAGAAGTGTCGGATTCTTTACTTCTTGTCTTTCCGCCGGGGTCATTACATGGGGGATCGGCTACTTCTGCTGTGCATGTTATGACAGCAGGTCCAGGTACCATGTCGGCCCCTTCTGGGAAAGGTACGGTGACTTTTTTCAATTCATGATTGGCAGTACCTCAATTCATTTTAGGTATCCTGTATATCTCAATGCCTCTTCTTACCAATTCCGTCCATTCGGCTGAGATCCTTTTACGCCCTTACCTAACAGCTGTTCTCTTATTGTTTCCAGCTGAGCAACAGCAGCAGAAAACATTGATTTGTTCTACATTCTATATGCAGGAACTTAATTCGTGTACAGCCAGTACCTCAGATCCATTGGTAGGGCTCCTGGCTGTGCCTTCATTAACCCCACATACAACACAGGGGGTAGATGAAGCTGCAATAGTTGCTGAGGCTACCTTTAGAAAGGCAGCATCTTCTCTTAATAGAGAGATAAAAGAGATGAATCAAGGATGTGAGCAAACTGTGTTTTGGCCTGTGTTAGCTGAGATGGAGGAGGGAGAAGGTGATGACATGCATTGGTAGAACACAGCTATCTATTCTATAATACAAGATATCTGCTTGCTGGAGGAGGGGGATGGAGGACTGTTTATTTATGTATAAGACCTAGTATTTCAATATGAGTCTGTTGACCAGCATCATTAATATTTCAGAGCCCTCACTCATCATATTACTCACCAGTAAAGTCCAATTTTCTCACAGAAGTTATATACTTAGGATCTTGTGATAGTGAGTCACAGGGCCTTACAGTTTGCACCGATTCACAGTATACACTGAATCTTAGTGATGTTCCGGCCTGGCTTCAGATGGCTCTGGCTTTGAAGAACTGCAGGCCAGGCCAAAGCCATCAATGATGGCTTGGCTTTGGCCTGGCTTAGCCTGAGCTGCAGTCTAATATAGGTGAGCAAGAACACAATGGGTATAGTGCTGCTGACCAAACTATAAGCTTGATGAGATATCTGTTGTGTCATAGAGGTCTCTTAGGACTATGTCTTTGTGTAATCAATATCTGAGCACCACCACACCATTTCCAACATCACAAATGCCACATGAAACCACCCATTGCATATCAGTAACTGCTGACGTGGCTCAGATGAACAAGGACAACAGATGAGAGCAGGAGGAGGGAAGAAGGTGAGAAGGAGAATGAGGGAGAGGAGATGGATGAGATAAGATGAGCAGGAAGGAAGATATTGAGCAATGTGAATAGTTGAATTTATCTGAAAATAGTTGACTGTGCCTAGTTTTGCTTGTGGTCCACTAAGTTCAAGTTTGATGAGCTTAGAATACAATCCACATAATGGAGAGTTTGGAGTGATGATAAGACATATTAAATATTTTTTGTGCAAGAATGTTGTTGTTAAGAATGTGCTCAAGGGTTGAATCCAAAGGGCTTGGCTTCAGCTCATGCGCTGCGCCCCTTACCCAAGTACATGCCCCTAACTTCCGAAGGCTGTCAGACAATGTCTGATGCGCGGGAATTCCAGCGGACATTCGGGAATGAGTGATAAGACTAATCCGGACAGTGTCCGAACTAGAAAGGAAACAGCAGAGGTAGAGGCAGAGGTGAGAAGTCTATAGGAGTCTATCCTAAGACTAATGGAGGACGACAAGAGAAGAAACTCAAGTCGGACAGAGGAGGGAATGAGCAGAGTCTAAGATAATATTCGAACTGAGGAACTACAGAGACTGTACAGGGTTTATATACTACTGAGGACATAATAGAGAAACAGTCAGTGCAGTGCGAGGCTATGCAAGGCTATGGACAGAGCATGTGGGACGACTATCACTAGTCTATCGGAACTTAGTAAAATGAAGATGGAAATGAATAAGGGATGGAAAATAAAGCATACTAACTAATAAGGGAAATACCAAAGGGAAAAGGCACAAAAGATAGGAGCTAACCGGATCCAGAAGTCCAGAAGTCCAGAGATGATTGTGTGATTGGTCCGGGTCCGGAATGCAGGATATGACAGTATCCCCCCTTTAGGGCCGAGCCCATGAGGCATCTGATTTGGAAGTCCGGTCCAGACTTTGGTGAATGCGAGATGATGGGTGGAGCTCATAAAACTAGAACAGGACCTATAAGAAGGCCGGGCGCCCATGAGACGTCTAAAACTTTCCCTCTAATTCCTATTACTGCTTTATTATGTCTAACTCCACTTCCGGCAACAAGAAGTCCGCCTAGCAGCTCCTTCAAGAGAGAAAGGCGGAAATGGCGTGACTTGAGGTGGATGCTCGGAGAGAGGCAGAGGAAGAGGAACGTAAGCGCAAGGAGGTGGAAGAGGAGCAGAAACATATGGAGGAACAGAAGCGGAAGAATATTGAGGAGACACACAAGAGGTTGGCAGATGCTGCGTCGGAGGTAAGTTACATACAGTGTTGTGATTTCCGGAGGTTGATAATGTTAGTCCTCTGGTCTGGCGGATCCAGAGGTCACGTGCGAGATGTGTGTCCTTAGGCGCAAGACTTGCACCTGGGCAGTAGCGTCTAAGACACCTAGAGTGAGTTTCTGCTTTGTCCGGATCTGGATGTTTTGTTGATTTTCTGAAAGATCTGGACCTGTGATCAGTGCTGCGCATCCAAGGAAAAGTGTGTCGGCAAAAATCCACCTGTCAAAGTGCCGGCTGGCAAAGGCAAAGGCAAGACACGCGCATGTCCGGAAGGATCTCCATCCCCCAAGGGCAAGGGTAAGAGATGTCAGCGGAGTCTGGAGGACATTGAAAACAACATGGAAATAGTCTCCAATCCATGGACAGTTATCGGAGAAGACCAGGAATGAACAGAGTATGATGATCAGGCCTGGGTTGCAGCTGCCAACAATATTGTGGCGGAACTGACCCGGACCAACGGGCTTTTGGAAAGAGGTGTTGTGGCGGCAGAAGGAAGCAGAGCTGCTATGGACCGGGTGAGTGAAACCATGCTCCAGTTCATGGAGGAGCAGAGGGAGTTCCAGAACCTCTTCTTAGAGGGTCTGAGGGGTGGATTCCAGATGCATGTGGAGGGAACTCTGGAGGAGGAAAATGCTGAGGGGGCAGAAAAGGAAGCCAGCGGATCCGGCAGAGATATGGAAATGGACTCTTAGGTAGTCGGATCTGAAGTCCGGATGTCGTACACCTAAAATAATATACATATATGCATGTCATTTTTTACTCTTTGTTAGAATTCGGACCCAGCTTATCCGGATATGCTGAGTGGAAATCCGATAGAAGTTCCGGCGCATTTCCGAGTTCAGTTGCAAGTACCCAGGAAGTTTCTTCATCAGTTCCCTCATATCCAGCCCAACATACTAAGTATAGTAGTTGGCAGTGACATCTCCGGCGGTCAATCTTTGAGTCCAGGATTTCAGAGATTTCATATTCTGGTTTGCTGTCGACTAATACCGGAGGTGGCTGGATGCAATTGGGAATGGTGTTTGGAGTTGCAGGTTCTAATTGAGAAACATGGAAGATGGGGTGCATGGATCACATAGTGTCCGGAAGATGGATGGTGAAGGAGTGGGTGCTGGGATGAGCGATGATGTCAAATGGACCGAGATTCTTTTCCAAAAGCTTTTTTGATGGTCGGGTTGAGCGGAAATATTTTGCTTTCACAAAGACCTGATCTCTGACTTTGAAGTCCGGAGCGGGTTTTCATCTAGCATCTGCGGGTCCTTGATATCGTTCTTGGGCATAGGACATTTCTTCTCAGAGGAATTGATGAAGCTCGTCTAGATCTATAGCATAATCCCGGGCGTGGGTGAAGGAGAGATCATGCTCCAGATGTACAGAAATGTTCGGGTGATAACCCTTATTGGCGAAGAATGGTGAGACTCCGGTGGTAGCACCCGGAGCATTGTTGTATGCGAATTCAGCTAAGGGTAACAGTTCTGACCAATTATCCTGCTGATAGTTGCAGTAGATCCGGAGGTATTGTTCTAGGGTTTGGTTAGCTTGCTCTGTTTGTCCGTCGCCTTCCGGATGATATCCGGAAGTGAAATGTAGGATCATATCTAGTGCTTTTCCGAGCGACCAGAAGAAGTGGGAAATGAATTCCGTACCGCAATTGGAAGTAACATGGGACGGAACTCCGTGTTTGGAAAACACATGGAGGAGGAATAATCGTGCGAGGTTCGGAGAGGTGATGGTGTCGTAGGTTGGGATGAATATGGCTTGTTTGGATAGTCGATCTATGACTACCAGAATGGCAGTAAAGCCGGAGGAATTAGGAAGTTGCTCGATGAAGTCCATGGATATAGAATTCCATGGTTTCTCAGGAATGGGGAGTTGCTTCAACAATTTGTATGGTTTGTGTCTCGGAACTTTAGCTTGGGCGCAGGTTGTGCAGGACTTGACATAGTCCTTGACATATGTGCGGATTCTGGGTCAGGTATATTCCCAATGGATAACTTCCAGGGTCTGGTTCTGACTGAAATGTCCAGATAGGGGGTGGTCATGTGTGTTCCGGAGCACTCAGAGATGGAGGTCATTGGATTCTGGAATATATATATGGTTGTCACAGCAGAGGAAACCACTCTCGTCCATTGTCCATCTCGGGTCCGACGTATCCGGAAGATGACTGGAAGTGATAGGGTCATTGGGAAGGGTGGACAGAATGTCCTTATGAAGTTGCTCAACATCCATCAGTACAGCTGCCCGGAGCACCGGAATTGCTAGGTGTGATGCCTGGAGGGACAAAGTGAGCTGTTCTGTGTTAAATATCAGCCAGAGGTTATGTGGATTAACCCGAGTGTAGTCCTTATCCCCCTCTTTGGGGTAGATGTCCCAACGTCTAGTTAAGGAATCAGGCTTTGCTCCGAGTTTTCTGGGTCGGAAACGGATAATGAGGTTGAACTGATGTAGGTATTCCGACCAGTGGGCCTGTCAGCGGGTGAGGAGTTTTGTTGTAGCAAAGTACTCAAGGTTTTTGTGGTCCGTGACAACATCTATCAGCTCAGCAGAGCCTTCAAGGTAATGTTGCCAGGACCGGAAAGCTTCATAGATGGCTAAGAGTTCCTTATCATGGGTGTCATAATTGAGTTCCGGAGCCGAAAGGGTTTGGGAGTAAAAGGCAACTGGGCGGAGCTCCTGGTCTGGACATACTATAGAAAGTATTCCGGCGATAGCATAGTCGGAAGTGTCTGTCTCAACGACAATAGGAACATCCAGTGCGTAAGCACCGGAGCGGTAGTGAAGACTTTCTTGACAGTTTCAAAGGATTTCCGGCAATCCTCAGAGAAATTCCAGGGAGCATCCTTGCGAGTGAGCCATGTAAGCGGAACTACAATGTCCGAGTAGTTAAAGATGAAGCGACAATAGAAGTCGGTGAATCTGAGGAATGATTGAATATCCTCAACTTTCTGGGGTTCCGGCCAGTCACAGATAGTCTGGACTTTGTCAGAGGACATGGTAAGGCCGGCTGGAGATAGGAGGTCACCGAGGTATTCAATTGAGTTGGAATGGAATTCACACTTTCCTGGTTTAGCATATAGCCGATGCTTCCGGAGGCATCGGAGGACTTCAAGGATGTGTTGTTTATGAGATGTAAGGTCTTGGGAATAAATGAGGATGTCATCGAGGTACACAATAATGCATATATCAAGCATATCAGCAAAGATGGTGTGGACAAAGCACTGGAAAGCCGCCGGAGCATTGGTGAGACCCTCGGGCATAACCAACCATTCATATGAGCCATAGTGTGTTCAAAAAGCAGTCTTCCACTCATCTCCTTCTGCTATCTGGACTAGGTGATAAGTGGACCGGAGGTCGATTTTAGTGTAAACTTTGGCGTGGCTTGGAGAATCGAGAAGGTCGGAAATGAGGGGAAGCAGGTAGCGGTCTTTCTTTGTGATTTTATTGAGGCCTCGGAAATCTATGCAGAGATGTAGGGAGCTGTTTTTCTTTTTGACAAAAAGGACAGGGGCTCCATGTGAAGAGGATGAGGAATGAAGAAGTCCGGTCACAATATTCTCATCAAGGAATGTGCGAAGAGCTGTAAGCTCAACCGTAGAAAGGGAATAGATGGTGCCAAGGGGTGGAGCTGCTCCTTCTTCCAAATTGATCTTAAGATCATAGGGATGATGGGGAGGGAGCTGTCCGGCTTTGCCCTTATCAAAGACATCTGCATACTCGTGATATTCCGAAGCGATTCCGGATAAGTTTGGAGGTTTGGAGGAGAGTGTAGCGGAGCGGAGATTGACACCAGAAGGATGAACAAAAATACTGAACTGGACCGATCCCCTAACTTGCAGGCCCGGCAAAAGGCAACTGCATTGATTAGGGAAATATTGGGAACAGTGTTATCAGCGGAGGGACTCGGCGGAGTTATAGACAGGATTTCTGCTGGGGCCAGTGGAAGTGAGGTCAGAGGGGTCGGAGGCACTCCATGAGGAATTGGACGGAAATTGATGCTGCCCTTTACCCAGTCAATCAACAGATTGTGTCAGGTGAGCCAGCTATATCCTAGAACGATGGAACAGGATGAGTCCAATGGAGTAACATAAAATGTTTCGAAGGTAACCACACTGGTCGGAAACTGGATCAGTAAATCTACAGCCTCAGTAATAGTGGTGTTGGAAGTACCATCAAACAGATGGAGTGGAAGCGGAGAGATTGCATAAGTAGGAATGTTATTTTCTTGGATTAGTTTGGTTTCTGTTACGTACTCAAATAGGTCTGTTATGCAGAGCCCTGAGAGGGGCTTCGTCTGCTAACATTCATGACGTAACCAGAAGAATCCGGTGTAGCGAGCGAGACTGGCAACATCGAGTCAGCAGTGATCGCAGATGCGCGTGTCACGTGACTTCTAAGACAGATGTCTTTGAAGTCACTGAAGTCAAAGTAAGGACTGTCTTGTCCAAACAATGACTGTCGATGAAGGTAGGCTTAGGTGCAGCAAGCACCTAAGAAAGTTGTACCAAAGACAAGAGCTGAGAGGCTCTTGAAGGAAGTAGTTTCAAGGGAAGATTGAGTAGATTCAAGTTAGGGAATCTAGTACAGGATGACCGACTACTTATACTAAATGGAAAGGGTTGAGGGCTGGGTTACCGTACTGTAGGTAAGGGTAGAGGGGAAATGGAAAGGGTATAGGTACACTGGCAACACAGCCTGATTAGTGATGGGAGGGCAAATGCAACATGAGACCGAGGAACATTGGACTGAACCAATGGTAGTGATACAATGCACAGCAGGTGCGAGTCAAAGGAGACAGAAAAGGAAAGCCACATTGGTGGCAAGAGTCACGACAAGTCATAGTGCCAAGGCACGTGCACATGTTGGTGCTTTATCAGAGATAAGGTTGAGGAGAGGGTGGAGATGAAGGATGAGAATGGTCCCGAGGATCCGGTCAATGGATATTCAGTAAAGGAGTGCAAGCCAGTAGATGGTAAGGGCGAGGACAAAGGGAAAATGATAGGGGGGCTACATGACCAATGTTACTTGTAACAGTTTCTGTTGGAGATTTTTCCCGAGCATTGTAATGCTCCCGCATTTTAATGTGCCTCGTGGTTATTTTAACCATCATTATGACTGGATTACGTCAAGATTACGACGTATAGACTGAGTTTCAATGACCTTACGTCGTACGATAAGCATGGTATGTGTAACGCTCTCCTTCCTCTACATCCACCACCCGTGATAGACCTCAATGCCCAAGATGCTGCTGACAAAGCGGCAGCGAGCATCTGAGAGTACCCACTGCAATATTTGTGGTTTAGAAATTCGAACTCGAGGATTAGCTTCTCACTTAAAGAAGTGTGAAAAGCAAGATCGGGAACGGCGGGAGGACGAACAACTCGCTGATATAGTTTGGATTGCCGAGCAAAAGGGTAAGCCACCAGATGTTCTGAAGTACTAACAGTTATCTATTTTGATATAATGGTACAGAACATCGCAAGGAGCATCGAAGGCTCCGCAAACAACAGAAAACTCTTCAGAATGCGCACACTGGATCTGCGAGTGAGTACACCACTTCCAGTCTAAGTGATCTTCTTTTTGTTCTGATATAACTACGTAGTAAACCCTGTTGCGATCTGGGCAGCACAAGATGAAGGCGGTGTGGTAGAAAACGAGGGTATAGAGAATGAAATCGGTATCATTTCCTCATTCTTTGAATTCGTCGTATTACTGATTACATTCTATCTACATCAGATATCCAAGGGTCGTCGCCGCATAGACACGAATCAATTGACTTTGACCCTCCTGCGTTTTCCGATGTCCCTGACCTCAATCATCCCAACGAGCCCCCTTATGAACTCGACGACATTAAAGTCGAGTACCATCCGCACAGCAAACAACCTTCAACTATACATCACTTTTCCGAATTTTCCCGTGGTCGCCCTTCAGAGGCTCAGGTACCTCGTAACAACTCACCTTGGGAGCCCTTCCGGACGCGACTGAACTTCGAAGTCGCAGAGATCGCACTTGAAGCTGCGCTGACCAAAGAGCAGACAAACTGATTGCTTGACCTCATTCATCGATCTGCCAGCGGCACAGACACATTTACGTTGCAGAGTCACAACGAGGTTCGCTCGCTATGGGAAATGGCTTCGCAGCGTTATACACCGGTGATTGTTTTCATTTTGTGTATTTCTCAGCGCTGATTAATACTTAGTGTACACTAGTTTCAAAAGGATATAGTATCTGTTGAGCACCACAATGAGACACATGAGTTTGAAATGCACTATCGCCCCCTCTGGGACTGGGCGCTTGATCTATTGCAAGACAGACATCTCGCATACCACTTTGTATTTGATGCACAACATCTTTCCAAATTTAATGGAGAACAATTTGTCCACTTCATAGATGAACCATGGACTGCCAATGCCTTCTGGAATGCACAGGTATGTCTTGTAGGATCTTCTTAGTCTATCGTGTTTCATCACTGTTGTAGTCTCAACTTCCGCCGGACGCAAAGCCACTCGCATTCATTCTATATGCCGACAAAAACAAACTATCTTCTTTTGGGACTGCCAAGGGCTATCCGATTATTGCCTGTATCGCGAACCTTCCCGTTCACATTCGTAACAGCAACACAGCCCTAGGAGGAGGTCGTGTTGTCGGCTGGTTGCCGATTGTTAGGATCTAACAATAAGTGTTGCTACTAGTGTCGTTACTGACTATTTTACTAGGTCGCCGAGGATCAAAAACATACCAGAAAGAAGAGTTTTGTAGACTTCAAAAATGTGGTGTGGCATAAGTCGTTCTACCAACTCCTCCAGTCAATTGAGCTGCATTCAAAAACCGGCTACTGGTTTGAATGTGGGGATCAGATTCGACGCTGTCTCTGGCCCTTGGTACTGATCCTAAGCGGGGATTATGAAGAACAGTAAGTACCAGTTAGTTTACTGCTCTACTACGAGGCTTATCTACTGTAACAGAAGTGTCATGGCATTGATTCACGGTGTGAAAGGCAAATTTCCTTGCCCAATCTGTCTAGTGCCGCAGGATGAGCAGTCAGCCAATCGTGTCTTTGCTTTGCGCACAACTCACAATTCCCAACATGTCCTTCGCACAGCAAGAGCAAAGCGTACAGAAAGGGAACGGGAAGAGGATCTAAAGGCTTATTCACTCCAAAATGTCGAGGTATGTGTTGCTGTACTGCCGCTAACAGACTGGCTGATTTCGTTACATTAAAAGAATGTATTCTGGAAAAATTTTCTTGCAGATGTTCATCGTGCGCTTTCTGTTGACCGCCTGCATATGAATCATGAAGGGTTATGGGAGGACCACCTGTGGAAGGACATTCTCTTCTGGATTTCCGATCTTGGACGGGAAGCTGCTGTCAAACTCAAAGTATGTGATCTTATTTAAGTTCAACGTTGTTATGTGATTTCGTTGTGGTACTGACTACTGCCACTCTAGCTTTGATGCTATCCCACGATGGCCTAACCTTACACACTTTAAAGCCGTCGTATCAGTCGATTTCAACGATGGCTCGTTTCACGAGGATATATCAAAGGTACGAGCGCAAACATTGAACGTGATTTATTTGGTACTAATATGAATTCTTAACTAAAGCTCATTCTCTTTACAGCACAAGATGTCCTATGCTATTCGCAGTCCAAGCTAGGATATCTACTTTTGCGCTGCATCCGGTACAGCAGGGCCAGCATTCTTTTTCAGACATCGCTCTGACAGAGCTTTCACCAACTTCAGAAAAAAGCTAAATGGCTTTCTTAATGTGTTCCTGCCGCAGAACGGTATTCCCTTGCCAGACGGTCCAGGAAGGGTCCTTCATCTCAAAGCCGAGGATCAGGTATGTCCTGCTATTGCTTTATTCGACCCTGCAATTGATCATTCTCAATGATATTTTTGATAGATTACGGAGTTCCGATTTCTGCGAGTGACTTACGAGTCCATGGTTGATTGGCGCATGCGTCAAGACTTACTTCGGTGCAACCCAACATTTTATGGATCACCGAGGTTTGATTGTGTGATTGTGAAAACTGCCGGCAAACCATTCATTGCTCGCCTTGTGTACTTGTTCGGTTGCTCAATCGGTGATGCTGACCTTCATTTGGCCATTATCCATCCTTACGATGTTGGTATTGGTGTTCGTCGAAGGCGGGATGTTGATCTGGGCTTGTGGCGTGTACGTGCCACACCTCGTTCATCATCCGAGATCATTTCGGTCCAGTCGATTATCCGAGGTGCTGCGCTCGCCAAAGATCCGGAGACAGATGGAGATTACTTGGTTATTCACACCGTGGATACGGACATGTTCCTTCGTGTTAAGTCTCTTCAAGCGTAATTACATTTTTAAAGCATTCACGTTTGCATGATCCCCTTGAATTCAGCCTATTTCTGCCGTGATCGTCGACTTCATCTCCTTTAATCTCTTACCCAGCTTCTTTTCTAGTTTACCCTACATCCCCAGGGCATGTCCGCCCTTATTCATTCACAGTGTATTCCGCTTGGATCATACTCCCGGCAAGCAACACATCAAGATCATCCCACCCATTCTGCTCACTATGGCTGCTGTACATGGTCCCATACTACCTGCCCATCCCCTCATTTCGCAATGCTCAGATCCTTCTGCTCACTATGGCTGCTGTATATGACCGGGATCAGGCCTTTTTTCATTTTCGGTGTTCAAGTTCAACCACCCATCAGCATCGTCGTCTCCAGGTATACCAAAACATGAGCCTGTACCGGTACCACTGTCCCCAGCCTCTCGTCTCCAGGTATACCAAAACACAAGCCTGTACCGGTACCACTGTCCCCATGCCATTCTCTCCGATGCATTTGCCCTAATGCGTGGTGACCGCTTCTACACGCTGCGCACTCGTTGCACAAGATGACCGTATTCTTGGTGTATGTATGTACCTCCCTCCTCCACACAAGCCTCCAAATTTACATTTGCCTTGGTATGTACCCCATTTTATCTATCCGCTCAGGTTCTGACAGCCATCAATGTCCTGCAGCTAACGCATCTGCCAGGCACCTAACCTCGAACTTGTCTTCAAACCAGCCTACAAACGCACTCTGTTTCCATCATTACGTTGAATCAATCGTTTGCAATACAAACATAAGTAATTTTAATTCATCGATGTCATCTGATCCGACCAAGACTCACAATGTGTGTTATTATACTCAGTAACGCGTAATACATGCATTGTGCTGCGGTAATTAGTCATCTTTATCATGTATCTGTTCAGTCTAACTTACTTCACCAACTTTAGGACACGGCCTCAATGGCCCATAACCCCATCGAATGACTGGACTTGACATCCAGGTAAGCATTAGCATCAAATCACACTGATATATGATTGATTGCATCAAGGCCTCGCTTCTATCGCATTTTGATATTCGGACGCGACTATGAAACACGCTGTTTCATGCACCCAACACAGTGAAATGTATAAAATATCGGCAAGAGTGTTGACTTGTCCTGTGAGCCCCGCTTTCAAGTCTCTTCTGTTTCGCATACTCTGAATCTGCTGTTCTATCACTGACAGATGTCTGACGAATCTGATTCGAACCTTTCAAGATCATTGGGGCATTCAGGCTCGTACCTAGACTCGGCAGATGAAGATGAAGATGACCAGTGTGTCGCTCCACCAGCCGATGGCGCTTCTGTGGAACATTACCAAAAGGTAGACTCCGTTTATCATGATCATTCCACTGACATTCTGACATATTTCATCTAGTATATCAAGTACCTTCAGCTTCAGCATGGAAAGCTGGAGCAGCGCAATGTAGCTCTGAATGAGAGTAACAATGTACTTAACGCGCACCAGCTGAAACGCTCTCGCAAGCGCCCTCTCAAGGCCCCATCTTCCAATCCACTATCTTTGGCATCCCAGCCATCATCCAGTTTGTCTGCTGCATCGCCTACTACACCGTCTGCCACGTCTGCTACTTCGGCTACGTCAGCTTCGCACAAGGCCAGTGACATCGACAAGCTCATTCTTGGCTTGGCGAAGAAGTACGCGATAACTACGGAAATGTTCCTTCCCGACAAAGTCAATTTTCAGAGCGATTGTCCTGATCCTCCAGCTGATATCTCTAGTCCAAATCGCTATGCAAAGAAATCAACAGAGAAGGACGCACTCATAACGGAGCTCTACACGTCCATTGATTTCGTGTTACATCCTCAGATGCAAACAAACGCCTTCTATAATCAGGTTCGTACTAATTTTACCTTGTCGAAATCAATCCAGCTTATGAAGCCTCACGCAGTTTGGAACCGGAATGCAGCAAGCTCGATCATCATTCATTAATGGGCTACGTTCGGTGGCAGGTAGCATATTCAACATGCCAAACGAGTATTTCATGTCGAAGTATGACCGTAAGTCTGTCCCGCAGGTCACAGACCTCATTGGATGGGAAGCAGGCAAGGGGAAGGTGTTCGATGTTTTCAAGGCGCCAATACTCTACCCCGATAATGTCATCAATGAGAAGAGAGTGTTCAAAAATTGGATGGTGCTCGCAAAGGTGAGGGCTCGTCAGAAAGTGGCCATGGTTACTTAAATTTTGTTCTCAAGGTTGTCAAGGTTGCGGTCTGCGGCAAAATGTCGTTGTTTCCAAAGGCACGCAGTGGCCTGCCTCCCTATGCCAAAATTTGGCAGCTCACAAGCTGCACTCCAGGCCTAATTGCCTTCGGTGTCACATCAGTAAGGTTTCGTTACTTTAATATGCTCTGAGTAGGCTCTTATCATGCTAGTAGATCATTTTTATCCTGTCCCCTGATCAAGAATTCTCGGGCGATGGCATTGGAGCCATATTGTTGATCTCGTATCACTCTGTCTTCCGAACTGTCAAGAAATTCTTTGTTGTCAAAAGGGGACACGAACACGTCAAGAATATTGTGCAGCAAATCAATGATTATATTTTTGACGGCACTACCAAGACACAGCCAGATTGTTCTTTGGACACCGCAGTAGAGGATATCACTGATTCACTTGATCGTGTCATGGCCGCACTTGACGCTGAAAGTGATTCAGACGGCGCATCATTGTATGACGCTGAACCTAGCGCTGAAACCGAAACGCGCTACAAATCCCCTCCCATTTCACTTCCCCCTACACCTGCAGTATCTCAGACTGTCCACAGTACTCCAGTTCCGATAGTTCACAACAACGTTGCAATATCTGGACCTTTTGTGTCTGAATCAATATCTAGCCCAACTCCAAAGAGTCTCCCTGTGACCACGGTACCGCATGCAGCTGCTGCATCAGTCAACATTCAAAGTGTTGAAGCAACTCCTGAGGGTGTACTTGCAGCAGCCGACACTGATACCAGTGCCAAAACGCGGAAGAAGGCAGTTGGCAGGAAGAGGACCAAGGCCGCTGTCAGTGACGCTGATGTTCGCTGCTCTTCTCGCAATACTGGTACCAATGCAAAATGATAGCTGTCATTATATCATTGGAGCTTCCTTAGTATCTAAAATCTAGCTCCCTATACGATACCAATGTTGTCAATGTAAATAAATACCCGCCTTGTATCACATGTCCGTCAACACGTTTGAAGAAGAGTCCGATGAATGATCGCTATCGTTCTGATGAGCTAGTGCAGGTGCAGAGTTGGGTGTGGCCAAGTTCTTACCTTCAAAGAGTCACATTCACTCGCCCAGCTTGTGGATCTTCTCAGCTTCAGCAGTCTCGCCCATGCCCTTCTGTTTAAGGCCACCAGTACCCGTGCCCTTGCCAATTCCTGTGTTGGTATGCTGCAGAGGCCAAAGCACAAAGTTGTACAACTTTGTGAGAACGTGTGGTGGTAGTATGTCGATTTCAAGTTCGATCTCCTCGGTATACTCTGCGTGAGTTGTCACTTAATATCAACATGATCCTAGTATTTAATACATATCTTGGGATTGACTCACTGAACACGAATTTTGGGAATGCCCTCATGAATGATTTGGATGACCTTCTCAAGCTTGATGCGATCAAGACTGGTGATGGCCTCACTCGAGTCTGCTCGAGCCTTGCATCGTCCTTGGCCATTTGTATGATATTATAATTTGATGTGCGCCATCCCAATTGACTTGATCACGTGATTATCATGCTTACTAATGATATTATAATGACAGTGCCATCTTTTCTCATTGCCTTCTTACTCTTAGACTTACAATAAGGGCTTTCAGACTCTTCCAAGGCTTCGCCTTTTGTCCTTATACTCTTCATCTCTTTTAGAAACTTCACTTAGACTTGTACCGCCTTGCTTTATCTTTCACAATGACAACACTTCAACAGTCCAACTCCCAAGGTGTTCGTGCCGACAAGCTTGTCGCTCTCCCAAGCTTGTCATGCGGTCTCTCTTCATTACCTCAAGCCAAAAGCATGGACAGTGTGTCACTATATCCAAACATGTATGCGCAGCGGGCAGCTGAAAGCGAAGCCAAGGTACTTTCTTCGCTTCTCACCACCCGCCACTCGACATTGAACGTGTTTAATGACTTGTAGTGAAACCAACACCCCAATTTTAAATGTTGCTGTCGCTCAACATATACATACTTGTGAGTCTAAGTTCGATTGTATTTAGATTCTTTCTGAATTGCTGCTCACAAATTCCGTCTCAGGAGCGACTCTGCTCTATCGCAGTTTTGCGGCAGCATATGGTGGGTATTTTTCTCTCTCTCTTGGTTCCAGACATTGATTAGACCCTTGCCAATGTCAACAGCTCGTTCGTCGCTCAATCTTCAATGGTTGCAGAAAATTTGCGACAGACGGAAGCCCATCATTATCATTTCTGCTACTTGCTTCTTGTCCTGATCTCTGTGCTCTCAGTTGTCTCTAATTGGTGGTGTCCACCCTGATTCCTCTGCAAGTGCACTCCTCGTTTGCCTGGCCTCACTCCTCCACCGCTTTCGACCCGAAAATGCTGATCCAAACGAACTTTCGCAACCCCGACGCTTTCAGGATTGTCTCCACATGTACTCTTCGCTCATCTGTCGTCACTCATTCACCGCTCTCCACCTGCAAATGATGCACCAAACGAACTTCAACAACCCTCCACGCCTTCGCGGTTACATCTACATGCCCTCCTCGCTCGCCTATCCTCACTTTTCCCCTGCTCTCAACTCAACACTGAAGACATTGAACCTCATACTGTAATGCCTTCGTGCTCACATCCAAATGCCTTCATGGATCTCCTGTCCTCATGCTTCCGCTCTGAACATCACACCAACGAGGAAATTGAGCTCTCACAATGCGCAACATGTCTTCATGTTGTCGAACTGACTCCATCGCAGGACAGGGAGGTATGTGTTTCTCTGGATGTCTGTCTCTGGCATCTGATGAGCTCTATGCAGGTATTGTTTGTTGCTCCGTAAATCCATTTTTTACTTGAGACCAATTGTAATTCTATACGATGTTGATCCATAATAATAATAATTGATGTTTAACGTTTTAACGCTCATTGGAATCTTCCAATGCAAAATTTGGCATCGAAAAGAACATTAAAATTATCATTAAAATGTGTATCAGGATAATGTAGACATCATGAAGATAAGCATTAAGACACCCATTAAAATGGGTATTACAACTAGGCAGACACCATTAAAATGAGTATTACAACTAGGTAGACACCATTAAAATGCGCATTAAAATGTGCATTACAATGCCCACGAAAATGACGCGACATCATTAAAATGCTGACTATTATATAACAATGGGTTATAATAAGCCTGCGTCGTTAGGCCATTTTAATGGATTAAAATGCCATACAAAAACTTCCGACATCTACAAAACAGTGAGAGGAACCACAATCTACAAGGGCCAGAAATGGTGAGATATTGAGGAAGGTAGAGATGGAAACATTTGGCATAAGAGAGTTCAGATCGGAAAGGGAAACAGCATTGAGACGTAGCTCCATTGCACGGGTTGAGTCAACGCAACCCTCGCCCCACATGGAGTCAGGAGGGTTGCGGACTAATTTTTTGTTTCTTCCGAGACCTCCAGTTTGGCTTCCAGAGTTACCATGCTAGCACGACCTTTGGCCACATGGGAAGTGGACTTTAGGCAGTCCCAGGCAGTATGACCGGGTCCGCCACAGAAAAGGCAGAGCTTCTTTTCCATGCACCTCTGGCATTCCTCAGAGGTGAGTTTACCATCTTTTCTGAGCTTGGACCTCAAGTCTGGAAGTTTGGTGGAGGAGGAGGCCAAAGCATTTCCAGATTTTCTGCCAGAATATTCTTTCTGGTTGGAGGTGGAAGCTGACTGCTTAGCAGGAGGGGTGGATGTGGAGGGTTTTATTTCGTGGGAGACTTCTCCCTTGCGTTCCCAGTATTGAGTGTCGATAGTCTGGGCGAGAGTTTTGTATTTGGGAAGTGTATTGGGTTTCCCTTGATGACTGATTTTGTCCTTGATGTGAGCCAGAAGTCCGTTATAGAACTGATGGTGCAAAGCTCCCGCGCCCCATCCTTGGACTTGGGAAGCTAGCCGTTGGAACTCTACAACATACTTGTTGATGCACTGTCCATCGCGCATGTAGAGCTGTTCCAGCGGCATTTCCGCATCTCCGACCGGGTCGTGAGGTCTGAAGTTAGTTTGGAGTTCTAACATGAACTCGGAGTAGTCATCTATCCAGTCCGGATGATCCGCAAGATCATCCGACAGGAGGTCTGGCTCAAACCATTCAAGGGCCATGCCCTTGAGGTATGATTGCACGAAATTGGCCTTGGTCCGGCTGGTATGGAAAGATTTTGGCTTAGCTTGAAAGTTAAGCTCACATTGGACAAAGAATGCCCAGAGCTTCTGGGGTTCAGTGCCGTCGAAGGTATCGGGTTCTCGGACTTTGACTTTAGAGTCATCGGAGGTGGAGGTTTGGTGGTTGTTACACGTCAGGTTATTGATAGCTTGGGATAGACAGAGGAAGACCAAGTCTTGTGGACCTAGACCTTCATTTTCATCGTCAGTCAGGTTTTCCAGAGGCTCATCATCCGGGTCACCCCCACCATCTCCGGGCGGGTTTCTGCCTAGAGCACCCTCGTCGTCGGATTCATTGTTCAGGAGATGTCCAGTGTGGATGTGGGAGTAGTCGGATGTGGGCAATTTATGAGTTGTGAGATGCTGGAGACAGGGCCTTGCACACTGGTGCGGCACTGTGAGAAACTAGTGAATGCATCAACTATGGGGGTAGAGTCATGTCGGGCGGTTACTAAGCCTGCCGCTGTCCTGCATGATATGGGAATCATGCAGAACACATACATGACATATTATCCCACATATCTACAGTCTGTTAGCCTTGTCCTCAGACTACACAAAATGTACTTTGAGTATAGACTCGAGTGCAACAGATAGCCTTGTGTGCTCCAATCATACAAAGTACAGTGTTTTGAAGAAAAGTCAAATATGATGGAGAAATCATATATTGACATAGTCTAAGTAATAGGTACACAAAAGCTTAGGTTATTACCTAACTTTTGGCTTATTTACTTTGACTACAAATAACCAACGAGAAAAGTTAAAAGCCTACAAAAACCCTAACAAAAAAGCCTGTGTTTTGCTTTGTTTTCTTTTATGATTATTCCTACCTTATCTTCCCCATGTTTTTCTTTCATTTCTTTATGTATATGATTCAATGACATCCCAGATGCTTCATAAAATGTACCAGCAAGGTATGATATCATAATGATGTCATATGGCTTCACAGATAGTTCTGGCCTATTCTGTTGGTTTCTCTGATGTCACCCATGATGTCATATGATGTCATTGGATGCTAGAATATTCCACTCCACTTGGCTCCGCAAATGCTCCATATTGCTCCACAATGAGGTCATTTATGATGCAATTCTGATGTCATTCCTCTTGTCAATCTTATTTCTTGGTACTATACAGTTTTGCTCATCTCATGTATAAAAGGAGAACCAATCTCCACCCAAAAATACAAGAATTCATTTTCCTGTCAAATATCTGAAGGAATCCCCCCCTCACATTCTTCTACTTTCTCTGACATTGACACTCTTTGTGTTAGACAGAAAGTGCAGACCAAGTAACTAAACTTGCTCTGAGATCATTTTACTCTTTCTTGACTATACCTATACTGTCTAGTGTGCATCTGATATATATTTCAGAGGACTAGGAGTATCAAGTCAAGCCATTTATCTGTGCCTGCAGATTCCTTTGTTGGACTATGTGCATACATATTTTCAAATCATGTAACTCGTAGTTGTACGCATCCATTGTATTATTGTAGTTGTATAACACACGGTTGGTTATACACTAACATCGTATTTTTTTGGATACATCCTTTGTACTTTACTTCAAAGGAGTCCAAATCAGCATCTTTGATTTGTATCGCACGGTCATACAAATCTTTCTATTTCCCATTAAGTCCTTTCATATTTAGGCGGGGGAAATTCTAGCAATATCTGCTACATCCAGTTGCAACCAGTTGCACAACAGTACACACCTCACATCACTTATCTGTCTAGTCAACAAAAAAGACTAGAGAGACTTATTTGTATCAAGTATTTTCCATCTAGCCATAGGAAAGGCTAGATATTCCTCTACAAAGTCTACATTATCTGTCTTGCCAGATAAAGTTAGATTTCTCTTGTAGAACATCTACTGTTCTAGGTAGAATCACACCACTGGGCTGTATAGCAGGTAACCTCCCACAAACGATGTGTTATCTACCATGAAAGAAGAAAAGTCATAGACTGCGAACTTGAGGTTGTTTGGTAGCATCTAGTCTTATCAAAAGTGTAATTGTGGTGTCATTGCCTTTTGACCACTTTTATATAAGACACCTCAAGTAAGAAGACACCACACAGAGAGTAGTCTGGGTGTGTGTAGGCGCCATGAAAACAGATGTAAGTATACTCGGTAAAGTGTGAGTTTGAATATACTGTTAAAAATGTGCTCAAGGGTCGAATCCAAAGGGCTTGGCTTCAGCTCGTGCGCTGTGCCCCTTACCCAAGTACATGCCCCTAACTTCCGAAGGCTGTCAGACGATGTCTGAAGGCTGTCGGACAATGTTCGGAGTCCGATGTCTGATGCGCGGGTATTCCGACGGACGTTCAGGAATGAGTGATAAGACTAATCCGGACAGTGTCCGAACTAGAAAGGAAACAGCAGAGGTAGAGGCAGAGGTGAGAAGTCTATAGGAGTCTATCCTAAGACTAATGGAGGACGACAAGAGAAGAAACTCAAGTCGGACAGAGGAGGGAATGAGCAGAGTCTAAGATAATATTCGAACTGAGGAACTACAGAGACTGTACAGGGTTTATATACTACTGAGGACATAATGGAGAAACAGTCAGTGCAGTGCGAGGCTATGCAAGGCTATGGACAGAGCATGTGGGACGACTATCACTAGTCTATCGGAACTTAGTAAAATGAAGATGGAAATGAATAAGGGATGGAAAATAAAGCATACTAACTAATAAAGGAAATACCAAAGGGAAAAGGCACAAAAGATAGGAGCTAACCGGATCCAGAAGTCCGGAAGTCCAGAGATGATTGCGTGATTGGTCCGGGTCCAGAATGCGGAATATGACAGTTGTCAAAACTGTCAGAATGCAAATGAGAGTGAATGTTAATGTCAAAGAACACAATGAATGTGAAAATTGACTCACTGATTCAGACCAATGCAAACCACAGTAGACAAGTAGAAATACACACAGAAAAGCACAGACAAGTGCAAAACATTCATTAGTAGTAACCACCTGGTCCTTCACAAGTGTATGAATGAACACACATTAGATACCTAGTATACTAATTATGAGAGTCAGTGTATGTAACTATGAGCTGTAATAAATACATACCTCAGTGAGAATAAAAAACCCTGAAACAATGTGTCATAGTCTATCTTGAATTGCAATCACAAGTGTTAGTAGGTCAGGGTTCAGAATAGTTTTGCTATCTCTGTAAACCCTACAGAGCTGTGGCTCAGACCACTGGCTTTATCTTTCTAGAATTCCAAGCTGGGCCAAAGCCTTAGCTCATAGCTTTAAGCCAGGCCATGCACATTAACAATACTAATATAGCAACTCTAGTACAAATCTGCCCACAGATTTCAATATGTATTATGGCCATTAGAACCTCACAGAAACTCAAACATGCTTCAGATACTATAGTACTAGTAGTGTTACAAGTATATTGATAATCACACAAGTACCACCACAGCATAACACAATTCAATATGAATTTTGAGGCTCACTGTTACAATAACATTCAGTGGCCAACATATTCTTTTTCTCTGTAACTATGCAAACTGCTCTATTCTTGCTATCTCTGACATAACTATGCCATCATTCTATTCTTATTATTTCTAACAAACCATCAACACACTTTACATGAACACTTTAAGCACTATCACCTTATGTACATCTTACCTACTATTTTTAGCCTAGTCTGTGTGCTCCATATGAATTATTCAAGCACAGTAGTTATCACTTGTGTCCTCACTTTAATCTACAGTTGAAATGCTCATAATGCATAAGGTGACTATGCATAAGATCTTGTAATGCATGACAAATGGTGGCAACCAACTTCATTCCTATGTATTTATGCATGAAATCTACTATTGAATAATGTATAGAGCTTTATAGACTTATACATTATTATATATACTATAGAGTAATGTGGAGCCTTTGCTCACTAGAGATCCTGCCATGAACTGATGCTAAACCTTGACTGCTCATATGTAACAAATAAAATCAAGCAGGATATAATTTTTTCCTGCATTTCAATGGCACCTGCAGACCCTCCAAAGTGTAAACCTCTTCACAACCATAAACCCTATGTTCATGTTATGAAACCCAAGGTCAAAGACTTACCCAAAACATCTACATTACCCCAGCCTCCAGCCTATGCATGACATAATCTAACACTCAGTAATTGGCTAACTGTAGTCAGATATTATGACAACAACCAGCCTATATCACAGAAAGATGTTATTAAGCATTTCAAGAATCTTCCTCAGGGTGCTTTGAGATTTACTCAATCATCCCTCTCTCATCACATTACAGCAAAAGGATATAGCAATGGTCAGGCCCATTTGTCATCAAATACAACAGCTCTTTCAGAAAAAAGGGCCTGGATTGTTACTCAGCCAGATGTTAAAAAGGCACTCATTTTGTGGATCGGTCACATAGAGCAGAAACATGAAACTGTTACAGACCCAATGCTTATGGCAAAACATGCAAAATTTGAGGAAGTCATGGATATACCAGAGGATGAGAGGTCAAAAAGAGTGGTTGGATACAATTTTACAGTGTATTGATTGTCTATTTCTTAGGTACAATATAAAAGAATATTGTCGATATAGAAAGACAGCATCTGTTAATTTAGCAGCAGTTGCAGCGGAGCACCAAAGAATCTTGAAAAATCTTGAAAAATACACATCAAAAGACCAGTGGAATATGAATGAAAGTGGACTATTTGGATTGTAGGCAATTGTGAAACTTCATATTATAGCTCTGACATACTATTTTATAGTGCTCCACCAGACTGCGGATTGACATCAAAGCAGATGTCTGGAAAGAAATCAAATAGATTTCATATCACAGTTACCTTCACATGTAATGCTGATGGAAGCAAGAAATAGCTAATTTTTTATATAGGCAAGGCAAAGCAAAGCAATTTCACTGCTTCAGCAAAAAGACACACACATCCTATGATTTCTATTATTGTAACAACAAAACTGCCTAGATGACATCTGCATATTTTGAAGAGTCAGCATTTCTGTTATTATGTTTAACAAGCTGCTTATTTTGTACTCAAGGTGGATCAAACTCCAAGACCTGCAGTTCAAAAGTCAAAATCAGCATATAGCATTGACAATTGACAATTTTTCTGGTCATGAAATTTCATATAAGCCAACAAATATTGAGCTCATCTATTTTAAATCAAATCTTACACCATATGTACAACCCTTGGATGCTGGTATCAATAAGATAAACCTCCTTAAAGTCATGTTGATGGTAAGGGATGCTTGGGATGCTGTCACTTCAGAGACAATTAGGAATTGCTGGAAGCATACAAAAATCACAGAGTGCATATCTACCATCTAGTATGAAGTCTGATATGGAAACAGCAACTTGTTGGTCTTCATAGGCTATCCCAGACACTCCTGCTTCATCAAATCTAATTTGCTCCACTCCCAACATTCAGTGCCCTCTTGCAGATGCTGAGGCATGGTGAATCATAAAGAATTTTGCAAATAGTATTTTTGAAATCCTTCTGAATGTGTAGGAGCAGCTGGTGGCACATCTCTGTTTAAAATATCACTATAATGATTGGAAACCTGCATTTGATGTAATGTTTATGGCTAAGAATGATAAAATGGCTGCTGCAACTGTCATTAATCACCTTGCCTTCCAATCACTCTACCCTACAGCAGCTGCCTTGCATCCTCAAGAAGGTCTCTCCAAACCTCCAACTCATCCCTTGCAATCATCTTTGCCGCAGTTGTCTCAGCTCAAGACTGAACTTATGAATACTATCAAAGATCTGCAGCATCATAAATGAATCCATGGTACTGCACCTACTTTGGAAGATTTATTGAACCCTAGCTCAGGTGATGTATAATGCCCAGGACATCCTTGAACATATTTAAACAGTTTGGGCAGCTGTGCATTATGCTAGCTAGTGTCTGAGTCTAGTTCATCAGGGAAGTGACGTGAAAATAGTAAAGTTTTGTCAAGCTTTACTTGATTTAAAATTTGTATAATATCTATCAAAATGGTAGTTTACTAGAATATGCTCAGAGTAAGTTGGATGAAATTTGCCAAAAGTACAATTATGATAGTCTACCTGCAATTACTTGTCATTTCTTACCAAACCGGCAAATGTTGCCAATACTCGGCAGCCATGACAAAGTTTGATAATGTTGGGTGGCTTCAAACAAAAGCTATGATTTTGACCTTTGTACACACATTGTATTCCAAAAAAATTCATTTTGCAATTAAACAAACTAAGTACATATATACATATGCAACACAACAAAAGATGGAAAACAAGTATAAGAGGGAGGAGGGACCACAAAGGAAGGTCTGCAAAGGAGGGTCCAGGAAGGAGGGTCTGCAAAGAAAGGTCTACAAAAGAAGGTCTGCAAAGGAAGGTCCAGAAAAGAAGGTCCAGAAAGGAGGGTCTGCAAAGGAGGGTCCAAAAAAGAGGGTCTGCAAAGGAGGGGCCATGAAGGAGGATCCAAAAAGAAGGAACCACAAAGGAGGAGGGTCCACAAAGAAGGAGAGTCCAAGAGGAAGGGTCCAAGAAGGAGGAATCACAAAGGAGGAGAGACCAAGAGGGAAGGCCAAAGAGAGTAAGAGTTTGAGAATCAGAGGGTAAGTTCAGAGTAATTAAGTGATGGTGGTAGCATTGAGAGAAGGAACTAGTAAGAAGACATTGAACTTTGAAAAAAAAATCAGACTTACATAAGCATACTATAGGGCTGAGCCAAGTGGTCACCGGTCACCAGTGACCATAGGTGACCATGCAGTCGAGAAATGCTGGTACACTTGCCTATTTTCATCAGAATTGTACACTTTTTGTCATATCTTATTATTTGCTACCAATTTGCTTATCTTATATATTATTTTGTCTACCTTTGTCATTACACATAATCACATGAATTTTTGATCTGATCTGACCAATTACAACTACAAAAACCATCACCTTGGCGATTTCCTGATGTTGATACCAATAGCATAAATGACCATGTACTATTAGTCACTGTCATATCCCATATATTCACGCTTCTCTTCTGGACTTCGGACCCTTAGATCCGGTCCGGTCCGATGCATAGATCCGTGTCCGGTCCAATATCCGATAAGCTTCTTAATTCATTTCCTGTTCATATAACGTTAAACACAGCCTATTCGGTATTTCCTCTTCCCGGTGTCTCGGTTATACTTATTACCGGTATGATTACTGATCTGTTATCCTATGCTTCATTTCCGACTCGCGTTTGATAAGCTTTGCATATGCTTCGTACATAGCCTCGGACCTTTGCTTATTGATCCTTCCGTTATCCTCTTAGTATATAAACCCGTGTATATTTCCTGTAGTACCTCAGTTCGAATATCATCTTAGTTTGTCCTCTTTCTGTCCTCCGGACTTGAGTCTAATCAACTCTTGTCGATCTCTGAGACTTCGGATCGATTCCGATAGTCTACGTCTCTGCCTCTATCTTCGGATAGTCTATACTCTGTTTGTTTCTAGTCCGGATCCGTCCGGATTAGTCTTATACGTGTTTCCGATATCCGGAAGTCATCTGGATATAACTACGAGACCCGTCCGGACCTTCGGACGCGTTATCGTTAGTCTCTGAAATAAGGGACAGTACTTGGGAAAGGGGCACAGCGTACGAGCTGAGGCCGAAGTCCTTCGGATCCGATCCTACGAGAGTACGACCTTAACAGTATATTCGAACTCACACCTTTCCAAGTACACTTACTCATATCATGGCTCCTACTAAAGTAAACCAAGCCGCTCTGCACGCAGTCGGACTCTCATCCAGCCGACGCGATCCAACCTCCATAGTTAACGCCTTCACCAGTTTCTCGCAGCGACGTGTCTCAAGCGTTCCTGCTCAAAGTATTTCTCAACTCTTGAATCGTCCGCATCCGGTGACTCCTACGCCTACACGTACTGCCGCTGGAGGACCTCCGGATGATGAAGGACCCGACGATGAAGACCCTCCGGATGATTTCGGAGGTAATCCGGATGATGATCCGGACGATGACGACGAAAATGACGGACTAAACCCACAAGACCGCATCATGCTCCGGCTTTCCGAAGCCATTGACAATCTCGCACGCAACAACCGTCGTCCCATCTTGTCCGAAGATTCCAAAGTCAAGATCCGCGAACCCGATACTTTCGATGGCACTGAGCCTCGGAAGCTTCGTGCATTCTTCGTCCAATGCGAGCTTCATTTCCAAAGCAAACCAAGTCTTTCCGTACCGGACGGGCTAAAGTCAACTTCGCCCAATCCTACCTTAAGGGTATGGCACTCGAGTGGTTCGAACCGGACCTCCTATCCGACGAGGACGATGATCGTCCGGATTGGATGGATGATTACTCCGCGTTCATGTTAGAATTACAAACCAATTTCGGACCTCACGATCCGTCCGGTGACGCGGAACAACAACTCGAACAACTTCACATGCGTGACGGACAACGCATTAACAAATATGTTGTTGAGTTTCAGCGTCTTGCTTCACAAGTCCATGGCTGGGGTGACGGTGCCCTAAGATGCCAATTCTATAACGGACTTCCGGCTTGTATCAAAGATGAAATCAGTCGCATGGGTAAGCCTTCTACCCTTTCCGAATACAAGACCCTTGCCCAGACTATCGACACACGATACTGGGAACGGAAGGGAGAAGTTGCCCGCGAAACCAAACCCACCACCTCCAATCCACCTAAGCAACCCACTTTGGACCGGACGAATTCCAACCCGTCCGGATCCGCGAGATTCAAATCCGACAAACCCACTACTTCCGCATCCTCCTCCGCCTCTAAAGCTCCGGACCTTACCTCCAAGTTAGGAAAGGACGGAAAGCTCACGTCCGAAGAACGTAAGAGACAGATGGATAATAAACTCTGTCTGTTCTGCGGCAGACCCGGCCATTCGGCTCGGGAATGCACCAAGTCTACTTCGCGCGCTGCCAAAGGCCGTGCTGCAGTAGTCACTCCGGAAGACAAACCGGAGGCTTCGGATGAAGCAAAAAAATAGTCCGCAACCCTCCTGACTCCGCACGGGATGAGGGTTGCGTTGACTCTACCCGTGCAACGGAGCTACGTCTCAACGCTGTTTCTCTTTCCGATCCGAACTCTCTATGTCCATACATTTCTCTTCCTACTTTTCCTGATATTTCCTCGTTTCCTTCTCTAATAGATTGTGGTTCCTCACATTGTTTTATAGACTCTGATTTCGTCCGAAAAAATAAAATCCCTACATATCCGATACCTCCGCTTTCTCTCCGTTTGTTTGATGGTACTTGTAATAATATGATTTCCGAAGCTATAGATTTGCCCATTCGTTTTCCGTCCGGTGTAGTCACCTCCGATACGTTTTATGTTACTCCGTTGGATTCTTCTTGTTTTATCGTTCTAGGATATAGCTGGCTCACCCTACACAATCCGTTGATTGACTGGGTTTCGGGCAGCATCGATTTCCAAACGACTTCTCATGGAATGCCTTCGACACCTCCGACGTCGCTTCCGTCTCCGGATACCCCTCCTCCGATGGAAGATTTACCTCCTCTGACTACATCC